GTGTGTGTGTGTGTGTGTGTGTGTGTGTGTGTGTGTGTGTGTGTGTGTGTGTGTGTGTGTGTAAGAGTACGTTTTTTCCTGCATTTCAATTCGGGGATCATAAAAGCTAGGAAGCTGAAATTTTAGAAGATTGTTTTTCGTTCATGTTTAACGCCCATGAATTTAAATTCATATTTCACGTAACCTAGGATACTCACAGTCATGTCAAAGTTTTGGCGCTAAAATCTATAGTCCGGCAGCTATAAAAGCTGAGAAGCGTAAATTAAAGAGGATATTGCGCATCTACAAGCAACACAGAAAGTTTTAGGTTCAGCTTCCAGATGTGCCTATTATCGCATCTAGGAAAGCGGAAAATCCCCCAGCCCCGGAACCAGGCGCATCAAAACGCCGAAATTTCAAGAAGTTGTTTTCTATCCAGGAGTAGCTTCGGTGATTTTAGCCCGAGCTTCCACGTAAACCTGGACTCGCATGCGTAAAGGTATGTACTGACTAAACTGAACATTCCGAGATTTCTACATATACTAAGCAGCGAAACAGTGAGCAATTTAACAGCAAAAGTTGCTGGACAGACCTGCCCAAAACGCGTGGTCGCAACAGCTATTTTGGGGCGCGTCACTATTTGTTATGTGTTTTGCCCATTTCTGCAAATGGAACAGAAGTTACGACGTACTAGCCTTACCGGTGCGTACACGTTTTGCACTACACTACAGCAATCAGATCGTTGACAACATGAATGGTTTTTGGAACACACTTTAACAGATTATACTTATATCGTCTTCTGACCTTCTGCTGCCTATGAAGAAAGGCGTTGGCTAGGATACGTTGCTATCTGGGTTTGTTCTGTAGAATAGAACAAGAAATTCCAAAAGGCTTTTGTTTGCGCTCATGGGCCTGCTTAATTTTTAGCGCGATGACTGACGTTTTCTGGATATATGTGTTTTTTTATAAAACAAAACCATTTTTGAAAGTGCAATAACAGCGTTCTCTATCTGTTTCTTTCAAGTTGTTTGCTTGTCCATCATCGCAGTCGTCGATAATTAACTCTTCCAGGTGCTCCAAATCGAAACATGCAGCTGTACAAAGTCTAGAATATTGCTTATAAGTTAATCGTTTAACGTGCAGTGCTGGCTGAGCATGCACGATGAACTTTTCGTGCACGAGTCCAGAATGTCTGCTGCCTGCTGCAATAGTAAATTCGTGCGTCATGTATTTGCTTGCTTCTGAAAACACAACGTGGTTCTAGAAGAGCTCTGTTACTAAGGCAGGGGAATATGGCGAATGTAATTTGACCAAACCAAAGCCTGAGTTACTATCGCCAGCTTAACACAGTTTCTCTCCTTTTGGAAGCGCCTTATCCCTACAACTACTCCTTCTTTTGAAGTTGAGCAAAACCTGCTTCTTCTAAGATTACTCACGTGGCTGTCTTCTTCTGTAGTTGCCCACATGACCAATTCTTTCCCTTTCGTTGTTCTGGGGCAGTTGTTCTGAAGACATTAACATGACCACTTTTTTCTCCCGCCTGCATTAGTAAGACCCCGTGCCTTGTTAATGACAGAGCTGGGTAAGATATGAGTATATCTGCCTTTAAATGGGCAGTGAGTGCATCTGCCTTCAAAAAAATCTTTAAGTTCAAAAAAAAAAAAAAAAGTTCATAAATGAAATTGCAATTCATATCATTTTAAATTTGCTCACAATATGTTATTTAAACTGTTTTTTAAGGTTTCGACATGCGGTTCCACGTGTCCTTAAAGCTAACCATTCTAGTGCTCTGCTTTGTGCTAGTAAGAATTCAGGAATCTACTGCCAGATCAACTGCCCTTCACCGAACCAGCGAAGACGGCGACGACGACGGTGATATTATCCGGACTAAAGGAGGTAATTATAATTTAAAAGCTGGCAATGTGTCTTTGTAAATATGCAAATGCAAAAACGCATGCTATGACGAACCCGGCGTTCGTGTGTGTGTGCGTGTGTTTGTGTTTGTTATGCTTGTGTACGGGTATTTCAAATTGGCAACCAAGTAAGGTCCGTAGCTAAAATTCTGCCAAGAGGTTCCCCTGCCAACTGCCACCCCAGGACCGCGGTACCAACTCTCATGCGCGTCTGGGCCCGGCGTACGGGAGAGTGAAAATTTGGTGGGAAAATCGCTAACTCCGGAACCAAAAAAGCTAGAAAACTTAATTTTGAGATTATTTTTCCCTCCCACATACTACTCAAAGATTTCAAATTCAGTGCACAAGTGTGTGTGGTTCCCACGTATGGCCCCGTAAAAATTTTTGGCAGGAAAATCGCAAGCTCAAGAACCAGGGCAGCTGAGAAGCTGAAGCCTTAAGAGAATGTTCCCTGATCAAGTGCAGTGTAGTTACACATTTAACTTCCTGAACTTCGTTTTAGGGGCAAAGGAACATAAAATGTTTGACCGTAAAGTATGTACACAAATATGTCAGAAATGGCACAGCCAGTAGCTATGAAGATTCGGTGCTTGTGATTTAACTGAGATGCTCTCGTTTACTTTGGATGCAGCCATGCCAGTCTCAAAGGCCATTCTTTTCACCGAGAATCTGATCGCTTTTGTCGTCACGGAGTAAAGCGCCAAGCGTCCTTCACTCCGTTGCTATCGCCGTCACAGTCAACGTTTGCTTTTCAACATACGCATAAAGCGATCAACATAAGTAATATACGGATCATAAAATAAAGTACACACAAATGTTGATCACTGCTAATTTAAAAGGCAAATTCATCAAATGCTCTTCGAAAAGCTTAGAGAAAAGCGACCAGTGCAGTGGATAAGACGTGACATACAGATAAAATATCAGAAATGTTAATGCGGTAAAACTTGAAAAATGCACTTCCACCAAAATGTCGCAAACAATTTCAGTATTATCGGATACGTTCCAATTGGCGAAGGATGCTGCTGACAGCTATCAGACTCTAAAGCAAGTGAAGCAGGCGCATGACTGCCTCCAAATGATCAAGGACGGCTACCAGCAGATTAAAAGCGGTTCCCAGGTTCGGGAAGGACTTGGAACGGCTGTTACAGGCGTACGTAAACTATGCGGACTTGGCAAAAAGTTTTTCAGTTAAAACCCAGTCTGTCAGACGCGTAGCTGAAAGTGAATACTGCGATTGTGATTGCCTTGGTGACAAAATAGTGTTGTGTTAGATGCTAGGCTTGCTGTTCAAGTTTGCGATAAATGAATATTTCACATTTTTTGCTCGTGAAGGAAGTAAAAAATACAGTTACATACTTTTCAAATACCAAGAAAACTAACTAACAAATCGCCATTATTTTGCAGCAAATACTTTTTTTGTTCTGCATAAAATTTGAAAATTATGATATTCATCAAGAGAGGTAGAGAGAATCCGCGAATCACTGGACTGGAATGATAGAATCAGTGCTGGGCACAGCATTCCGTACAATCTGCAGTTTCACTCAGTGATGGCGAATATTTGAATCGAGCAACTTACCAAAATAAGAACCAGATTACTTTGTACGTAATAAGTATCCAAAGGCGAAAAGTAATGACGGCTGCGCTTATCAACTTCTTTAATAATCTCTGCTGCAATATTCCGATCTGGACACCTTGTCGTGGAGTGCGAGGGTTAACGGATACTTATTACGTACAAACGGACTTTGGTGGTGTCGTTGCACAGCGGGATTCAACTACTGCAGCTCCAAGCATGTCGCGAAGACATGTGCAGCATTTATCCGGATAAGTTTGGGTGGTTCATCAGCCTAACCAACTGTAGTGCAGAAAAGTTCAAGCAATTATGCACGCAGAAACACAAATCTACGCTCAACAACGCGTTATAAGGGCTAACGTGAATAAGGAAATATAAAATGGATCCCAGCTCCCTGCAACTTCTTTAGCCCGGTCTACAGCGACGAATTGGCAACAGGAGGATAAAGGACTACTAAAAATCTCGTTGTTCGGATGCTGCCACGGAAAAGCTTTGACTTCCGATAAACAGCCATAGCTGTAGGTTGCTGTCGAGGGATGGACCTACCAATCACTATCTTTGGAAACGATAGAGCATCGCACGGCGTCCTCAATATATATGAGTGAATCACTGCATGTGACCGAACAAGTCGTAACCTGAAGGATCGGCAGAGTAGTAACGACCAGTCTTCTGTGGCCACCCGAGTGGTGGCAGTGGGCAAGCAGACCAGGATCGATGGGCCTGGCGTAACTGTACTCGGAGAGTGGGAACATTTCAGAAAACGGTGAAAAGGAATAACTCGATTGCTAACTCGACTGCTTGTGATAGTCTAGTATGTCGTGCAAATGCAAAAACACACTCTTGCAAGAGGTCTTCCGTGTGCGCCATGTACGGTCTATGCCTATGTGTTTGCACATTTTGTCGTCCATTTTCAACCCGAGAATCAGAGAAGCTGGGAGGTTGAGATTTAAGAAGTATTGCCCACCCCTTGCGACCCTCGCTCTTTAATATTATCATTCGCTCATACTTGGGCCTCACTCACGGATACCTCAAAAGAATGTGACTATTATAAAGCACATCTTACCATTCCTGCTGTTAGCGATCTGCTAGCGCAAAAGCGCATTCGCAATGGACTGCAAGCTATATGAAGATGTCTATTGTCCACATTCGAGCTTGCAGTTGCCTCTCGCATGTTTTTTTTAAATCTTCAAATTGCGAAATCTTCGTTATCCTTGTCGTTTAGTAAACAGATAGGCAAAAATGTCAAAAATTCTCCGCCAAAAAATTTGGCAGCCCGTACATAAGAACCTCGCTTATCTGGAGGCTGAATGTAAAATCTTTAAGTTGTATTTCGATGGGGAATATTCTCTTAAAGTTTCAGCTCTCCGGCTTTCCTGGCTCCCGAATTAGCAACTTCCGCGCTGAAGACTTCGTTCTCTCGTACGCGAGGCCCAGACTTGCATAAGAGTTGAAGCTGCGTTCCTGGAGTAGACACTTGGCCGGGGAACCCGCAGTTGCAATTTTGGCGCCGGAGCTTGCTTGGTTGTCGAGTTGAAGTACCCGGACGGGCGAACACACCTATATATACACACAAACATACATACACACAGGGTTGTCGCAGTATGAGTTTTGCAATTTGCATATAAGCAAAAACGCATGAAAACTGGTAAGCACGTACCTGAAGGTTCATGAGGCCCTACAATGCAGCGCCTTCATCCCAACCGACACCCTTCCTCTTGCATGCAGGAAGAGGCCAGAGCGCAGGTAATATGAGTCCAAGAGTTAGGCTACAGCGCAACGATCATTCCTCCTGTTAGCGATTTGCGAGTTTAGTGCAAAAACGCATGATTACACCGACAAGCCTGATGCGTTCCAACTCGGGTTCTACTTATTTACTTTTATTCACTTCTCTATTACTGAAGAAGCCATTTAACGTTTTCTTGCTTATCGCCGCCAAAGTTACTTGTAAATTAACAAAGTGCATGAAATGGCGACATATTATGCA